AGTCACAGCACTCATACACGTCTCATTCATCATAAGCCTCCCTCGTCAGTAGGACAGAGAAGAAGAGGAGTGAAATCGCGGGATGACTGTTACACATGTCGTTTTCACTGCCATGTAACTTATGTGCCAATTAAAACTTTCCCACCGTCGCCGCCTGGACATTAGTGGTTAATGCGTCTGCTGAAGGATGAGTTATTGCTTATTTGGAAGCACGTTAACCAGGCAATTCGTTGGCTGGAATATTCTTGACCATAGCAATAAGCCTGGGGTTGTCTGGAAAGAGCAGTTCACGTGACTACGAAACTCTTCCTCAAACTGGCCCTATAAATATGCTTCAACAGATGTTGTAGTAAACCTATAACGTTTCGCAACCAGTGAGCGGGCAACCTTCTCCGTTAAATATGAATGCAGAGTGGCGGTCCAATAGCACCCCTCGGCTTCTATATGGGAGAAAGGGAACTTTAGTTACTGATAACTTCTTGGGGTCTTCCTGTGGATGTCAAAATACAGTCGAAAGAAAAACCTAGCCGACAGTTACCGGAACAGACACAGTTGGTATCCCATAAATCACAATGTTTCGTTTTTTGTTCTGCGCAAGCAAGAAAACCAAGATTTGTTTGCCTGGAATGGTGTACGGAGCCTCTTAACACACCATACCAGGAGGTTGATGGTTTTACGACAAAACTATGTCTCTGTTATTACGAAGATAGTAGGTCAGTTTCCACCGACAGGGGGATCGGTATTTGTGTTGTGCATACTGCTTCACGTAGAATTGCTGCCTCATATTTATCCCGCCCTTCTATTCAGAACCGCCTACCGCGCCTGATGCGCCCAAAGTATCTGAGGTGACCGCCACCACTTGCCAATTGACTATTCAACCGCCTTCCTCGGACGGTGGTTCGCCCCTCAGATTCTACCATCTGGAGAAACAGGCCAATCAGAAGGGTTCCTGGGTAAGGGCTTGTAAAGATAAACTACCAATCCCCGTGGGAACTGAGGACAAACCGCTGACCGTCACAGTAACCGATCTGGTAGCGGACAATACCTACGAGTTCCGCGTAGCCGCTGAGAATGCAGACTGCCTCACTGGTGAATTCTCTCGCCCGAGTCACCGCGTCTCAACCAAGCCGCCCTTCAGTAAGTGAATGTGTAAATAAAGCCTACTACTGTCTTATTTCAGTAGGTGTTGCGATTTACAGTCCTGCTAAATTAGTCCATTATAATAACTGAGGAAAGTGAAAACAATGTTAGTGTGATTATTAATCTGCGTATACTTTGCCCCGCAGATGTTCCTGGGAGACCGTCAAGACCCGAGTTGAAGATTGCCACAGAAAATACGGCCACAGTCACCTGGAACCCTCCGTACGACGACGGGGGCGATGCCGTCAAGAGGTACACTGTACAGTACAAGGTAAATGACTGTTGATTCGACTTACACATGTTCACTATATTTGCAGCGTTTACCCCTTGTTTGCTGTGGGACCCATTTTGCATCTTTCGGTACACCCCCCTCCCCCCTTCCCCACGTACGACAGCTTTACCGCCTATTCCGACGATGTCCACTCCACAGCATGATGGTGCGGGGACGATGAGTTAGGCGTAGACTAGTTTTAAGTGATATTAGACTTGCGTTGCATCTACCGCACTCTCTCTTCCCTCACCTGTCTGTGACTGGTTTCAAGAAGACTGGAGTCGGGATCGGGCGGCCGGAGTCGCCAAATCTGACTCAGATCCCACGGAGTGTGAGTGCCATCTGGGTGGCTGGTGCCTGAGCCTGCACCTACGCATGCCAAAAACGC